TTGCAAAAACGGAAAAGCTCCAAAGCACTTTTTTAACAATTATTCGGTGGTGTTCATTTAGTAACAGGTATAAAAATATATAATATACTTTATATAAATATATAATATATATGTTATATACTTTATAAATTATTTCAACACCTTGAGCTTTTAAAATTAAAAGTCCGTGAGCGGGTATCCTTCCACCGAAATGCGGAATCGTGCTTTTCCTTCTGTTTTTATTAGGTATCCGCGTGGGTTTGAGTGTGAGTGTTTGCCTGTTGATAATCCTCAGACCACTGACCAAGGATCCCTTCATACGCCCTGTTGCCAGGCGCTTTCATTTCCGCCTCATGGACGCCAAACATGCCACTCTGTCTCTCCTCCTGTCCGTCCGTTTGTCCGTTCGTCTGTCCGTCAGTCTGTCCGTTTGTCCGTTTGTCGTTTTTCTCCGTCCGTTGCGCTTGATAGGCTGACCAGGACTTCGCTAGTTGGGTGTCCGTGTCAGTGTCCTGTTCAATTTTTTCCGCCCCACTCCACTTCACTCCGCTCCGCTCCACTCTCACCGAAACCAAAACACTGCGCAGTTGCTGCCCGAGGCGGTTGCTCTGTGTGCGGAATTTTGATATTAATAGCCTTGGACAGTTTTATAAACGCCTTTCGGGGTTAACATGCTCAAGTGGTATTCATATTTTCCACTGACCGACCTGTCACTATTGTGTGTGTCAGCTCGACCCCAGTGAAATGTGAAAATAAAACGCAACCGAGGGGAGGACTCTGCCGGATCGGATCGGATTGGATTGGATTGGAGTCGAGTGCACTGGACTGGGCGGGAATAGCTAATGGGAAATGTGAAGGTGACTAAGTACATAGGCAAGGCACTTAGTTATGGTAAAAGACTTTTCTAACCTGGCATTTTTTAAATTATTCGAAATTATATGTGCGAAGTCTTTGCAGCACGTATTATTTTGTCGGGTAGTTTTTGTACTTATTTTTTAGTACTCTTTTGACTTCTATAATGCTTAAAGACTTACATGTTTGTGTAAATAAAATACAGTTCATTACTATTTTCAAAATAAATTTTTAATTTTGATTTGGATAGCATCTTATCTTTTTAAAAAACCTTTTTAAGCCTACCTTCCAGTTAATCTGAATGGTTACTTAAAAACTGGTTGTTGTTCTTAGGGCTTTGCGATTAAGATCAGCTCTTGAACTCAACCAAAACATATGTAACTTCTCAGGATTTCCATGGCAACTTTCCGCTTAGGGCTTCAATCTGGAGTTTCCTCGACGCACTGCGCAGTTTCCTCGGTTTTTCACCCTCCTCTGATTGAATTCAAAGCTGGATTACGGGGGAAAGTACAAAGCGATGGGTTTCTGTTCTGGAGGAGGGTTGCTCTTCAAGTAAAAGACAATCGCAGTTTTCCTTATTGCGTCGCAGATGAAACTTCGAATAGTCATTTCTCCGAGGGGAGTTCCATTTGGGTGGAAAACTGCAAGCTCTGCCACGGTACAGTCATTCCTGGCACGGTGCGTCCGTGTTCGCTTGCTTCCTTCCTGCCTTTGCTTGCCACTCCACCCCGCCCCGCCACGCCCCTTTACTCTGGCACTTCCTTGCGCGTCCTGCGCAGCATAAATTACGCAATTCACTTTGGCGTCCTTTTTGAAATACCCTTTGTTGGTTAAGTAAATGGGGTATCCTCAAAAGCAAGCTATAAAGGATTATATTTTGATTATTTTTATAAATTAACTGGATGCTTAACATATATTCATATACTTAAAGAAAATACTATAACCTCATATGAAAATCTTTGAGAGAGATTTTTGTAAAGTCTTAAACTCTAAGTTAAGGTACATCAAGGAATAAATTCTTTTTAATGAAAAATATTAATATTATTATTTAAAACCTGAAATAAAATATTTTTAAGAAGTATTTTAATTTCGAGTAGTCCTCTGAGATTCAGTAACTCCTTTTTTTCTGTAGCTTTTCCTTGCCTCTGTTTGTTTGCAGCGACGCAGTTTGCGTTGTTGCTTATGATTTATGTGCCGCGCGTAGCGATGACACACACACACGCACGGCGAAAGGACACTGCTGCAGTTAAAACACACCACCCCTTCCCCCCACCCCTCCCCGAAACCACCGCCAACCATTTCCATTTCCCACAACCGCCTTCTCCTCGGGAGTTTTCAAGAATTACACGCAAATTGCACGCAACACGCGAATCGGGCAAAGTGGTCGCGTATGGAAATGACGCGGGAATGCCACTCATGCGTTCCGTTCCGTGGGCCTGCATGTGCGATAGTTCTGTCACAGGCCCCGTATCCGGAGCTCCAAGTCCGGAGAACAGAGAATGGAGAATGGAGAACGGAGAACGGAGTCCAACTCCCCGTCCTGTGCCCCCCGAAAATCCGTGGCATTAAGTCATGCGTCATCCTTGGCAGGGACATGCGTGTAAGCCGGTTATCGCCCGAAAAGCCTGCCAACAGCAGCAGGACACTTTAAATATCTTTATGCATACCATAAATACGTTCTTAAATGCTAATCCTTAAAAGCCTGCCGGCCACCCAACGAAATGCGTCACAGGTCCCAGGACATGAGTCAGTCGAGAGAATTCTAGGAAAATCTAGGAAATGTTGCGGTTGCGGTAAAATGGGAAGGGGAAAAAGATCAATCACTTGGAGTGGTCAAGTTTTCTGGATATTTTAAAATTTGTTCCAACACTTACAAAAAATCCTGGCAGGGTAAGAAAGAAGCAACCCCCGAAAAAAAGTATACAAATTGTTATTTTTTCTTGAAGGCTAATTTTGGTTTTCCTACACAAACTTCCATTCTCTTTTTTTTTACCCAATGTAACATTTACCCATTCTTTTGGTAATGAGAGTCAACCGCCCTTGTAAATCCGAATTCTATTCAAACCTGTTAGTTGATTGGTAGTCATTTGTAAAAGCCCAATTCGCGTTAAAATGCTTTGCTTGTTTACTTGATTGACGGAAATAGGGGAAAACTCGTTTGATATCCATGAGAAAACGCCATAAATGGCTTTACAAGATGGCATTGACTTTTTCTTGATTAGTTCAGAGAGCAGTAAATCAGACCTTATGATACAGAAGTCTGGTTCACATAAAAGTTTCACGTTCATTTTAGGATTTTATGGATTAAAATAAATTTTTTATATATTTTTTTTTCGAATACCCAAAAGCCAGGCTGGCTTGCTGACCTCAGCATCAGCTGGTGGAAAAGTGTGATATTTTATTTGTCATTTTTTATGGCGCAGTTAGCCTTTTTGTTTTTTGCCTTTCATTGTTTTGACAACTTTATGGGGAGGAGGCGAAAACATTTAATATATGGCACCGAGCGAAGCCGCAACTCACTTTTTAATCACTTTTCATGAGCTTTTAATTACACACTTCTTGTTTGGGTTGTGTCGGAATGAAATTTATGAAAAACCAAACGCATAAAATGCTTAACAAGCTCCTGCTGCCCGACCGCAGGACATACACACACAAACACAAATAGGCACACGTGTGTGTGTGTGCAAAAAAGGAATGAAATAAAAATATCCCCACTCATTTCCGTTATAATAATGTGTGAAAGGATATTAATTATGAAACAAGCGAACGGCAGGAAGCCCGGGCAATAAAAACAGCAAGCGACAGGAACACCATGCGTGACCAACAATAACAACTACAAGCACAGGAACATCGCAAGCGACAACAACAATGTATGGCGACTCCGGTATATTGTGTTTTATGTAAGTTGGTTGGGGAACACTCGAAGAAATCAGGGGGAATTTCCATAAATTTAGAGATTTTTAAAACAACAGTATAGAACTTAAGGTTTAAAAGGTTTTTCTAGGTGATAGTATTTAAACAATATATTTTTAAATAAACATATTTTTTTTAAATTTGTCGTATTAACTATTTCAATGTAATTGATTAAATACAATTTTTAATAATATTAATAGCCTCATTGTATTATTAATATTTAAAAACAAATAACTTTCTTATGCTTATCTTAAAATTATCACCATTTTATAGTTTCATACATTTTATTTTACAAATCTTTATAAATAATATACGTTTTACACCTCTTAATGCTCTCAGTGTACAGTGGGAGGTGGAGGTGGGTTAAATGAGGTGAGTTGTGCCGAATTGTGTTGAGTTGGGCGGAGCGGAAACGGGAGCAACATGTGCAACATGTCGAACGGAAGTGTCGGCCATATTCCGCACACATGCACACATGCACACACGCACATCCCCCTAAATAGGCCCACGTCGCACACACACAAATTATGTGTCCTGGCCAAGTAGATTTTTATGTAATGTCGGTCGGTTATTGCTTTCATACATTTATTTTATTTCATTTACCCAAACCACCATGAGCACCGCCCACACAGGCAGGCGAATTTAATATTTTAGAAGCTGCTTAATTTGTATACTCTTTAAAAGGATTTTTCTGAATTAATTATCTCATTAAATTTTTAATATAAATGTTTTTAGTTTTTTTTAAATATTTAATAACATAACATTTTAAAAAAAAGTTGGACTATGATATCAACGATGATGTATATTTATTTTATTTTTTTATTTATTTTTTTATTTATTTTCTTAGTTTTAAAAGCAAGTTTTTATTTTAATATAAATTTAGAAACTAAATTATACTCAGACACTTAACATCTGTATTCTGCAATTGATTGCCTATATAAGCAATGAAAAATGTTCCAATAAAATCAACAAAATCGTTCAACGTTGAACTCTAAACAATTTAAATGCAATTACACTTTTTTCGCGTTCCGAAAAGGACATCTCCATGTCGTTGTTTCGGCAATTAAGCTGAACCATTTTTGCCCTGCACTTCATGTCCTGTCATTGAGTCAGTCAACCGGCCGGCGGGCCATTCAGCCATTCAGTCAGACTTTCAGACACTCAGACGTTCCAACGTTCCGACATCCTGGCAGTCTGCCGGTGACAGGACCCTCTGCGGCGGCAACTGTCGTCCATCAGAGCCGTGCGTCAGTTGATCACGTTGCCGTTCCACGTGACGATGACAGGGACTCCGGAATGCCAGAATGCCGGAATGCCAAAGCGCCGGACGGATGGAGTGCCCCGCCCCCGAAAGTCGTTGCCATCCGCCCACGGGCGATGTTCTGCGGCTCCTGCGTGTAATTGCCGTTGTAATGTCGCTCGACGCGAATATAATTGCTAAAATGTTGCATAAACCGACAGACGTGCCAATGGCCAATGGCCAATGGCCAATGCCCAGGACTCTGGCTTTGGCTTTGGCTCTGTCCCTGTCCCTTCCTCATCCTCTCCTTCCTTCGGACTCCTGTTCTGGATGAGAGTCCAGGTCGCGGCGACGACACTTTTCCATTTGAATTTAATTTTAATTTACGCCCAACGGCCGGCGCTTCTCCTGTTTCTCATGCTTCTGCTTCTGCTCCTGATGCCCATTGCCGTTTTCCGGAAATTGGCAACGGCAATGGCCAGAACATTCCGCACTCCGGACGTGGTTCCTGGCTTCTGGCCTGGGACTTGAATATACACAAGCAGAAAAATCGATTTTAATGCAGTATAAAGCTTCAATAATGAAGCTTTTCTGAAGAAGAAACTATTTAAAAAATATGAAAACTGTAAATACATAACTTAATTATCTTTTAGCTTGTCTTGTTATTTATAAATTACCAGCTTCCATTACCATTTTTCAAAGTGTTGTTGGTATTATCTTGGCTCAACTAAATTATAATTTTTATTCATCTAAAAATGTAAGACGTTACAAAATGATTATTATATTTTTTAATATTTAAAGTTTCAACTGTTTCAGGCGTTTTTTATGGCATCTAGCCAGTGGTAAATCCTTTACTTTATTGCGTAATATTTTTCTTAGTGTCCAGATGACGCTAACAGAGGCAATGCGGTTCTGGCCACGATTCTGACCAAATTGGAGAGGGCTGTCCGCACCGTTGAGTTAATGAGAAGAGACAGAGGTCGAGAGGAAAAAGGGAGATAATAAAGAATGGATGGGCGAAAAAGGGAGAAACCCGTCGACAGACATTTTATGTGCAGCCGGCCGAATTGTTAGAAGAAAAGCCAGTCTAATTTAAGCGGGCCCGAGCAATTAGTCGATAAATTGAAGCCCCAAAAGTGGCAGAATGGGGAATCATATAAATTTCGGATAAGATGGATTCCAAAAATAATTAATATACGAAATCAACCACACAGTTTTTAGAACCCTTCACATAGCATAAAATAAATGTGCATAACTAAAATGTAATAACTTGTTGTTTATAAATACTCCTTAAAAGCAAACTAATAAATTCCTGAACCAATTATGAAAATTTGTCTAAATTAAGATTCATTAACACAAAAATTGTTTAAAATGCGACCAAAAATAATCGCACTTTTTAAAAACCATCACCCAAAAATGAACCATACCTTAGCTAATGAAAAAGTTTTCCCATATTAATTAGTAACCCAAATTCAGTATCTACGCTGTAGCTCCGAATTTTCCATCGTCGGTGAATCCATGTGGGCTTTTTTATGGAGCCGCTTTAGTCATCGCCAGAGTGTCTGGAGCTATGAGTAATTTTCCGCTGGCAAAAATCGTGCCCCCAAGGGCCGACTCATTAGTTGCAAAAGGAATTAACAGAGGAATAAAAATGATAAAGAAATAAAGATAATGCATGAGAAGTAATGACGCCAAGACCGACCGATTTGATGAAAACAATTTTCCAAATTTGGCAAAACTATTAACCACTCTACGTTAATTTCATTAGCAAGTCTGTCTTTCTTGTTTCGGTGACCGTGTTTTATCCATACTATATATATATATATATATATCACAGCCATTAAATGCGCTAATTAGTTGGTCAATTAGCGTATGCTTACCGGATTGTTTTTGGCTCTTTGTTTGTTGTTGGCCCAAACAGAGAACGGATTTTGGGTGGCAGAGGGTGCGGCGGGGCCAAATTCACCAGATTTACCATTTACCATCGACTTCTGCCGTCAGCGGTTCGGTTCGATCGCCCAACTGTCGCCACATTAATAAATCAGTTTAAATTAATTCAGTTGACAGCTTTTAGTCAATATTGTTGATAAATTGTTTTCTTTTAATTTCGGTTTTTTGGTTTTTCGGTTTTCGGTTTTGGAAACCTGCAGCTGTTGCCAAGGGGGAATGGAGCTGTGACTGGTCATTAACAGCTTTTCAGCTTTGTTAATTAGCTCATTTTGGGGCCATAATTCTTGTGGACATTGGCTGGGCTTTCCACTGCAGCTTTTTAATGGAAATTAAATCGAATACTGTTTAAATAATATATGGCTATAACAATTTAATTTTGACTTCGCTGGTGATGCCACCCAAAATAAATAAATTATCTGCAAGGGGAAAAAACATTTCATAAACCACTTTTAAGCAGGAAAATTTAATAATAATTTTTGGTAATAGTGAGACATATTTAAACTTGAACCAAACTAATTGGCCTCACTGTTTCTGGTCTCGCTGAGGATATCGCTCCAGGACAAGCTGTAGGAGTCCTGATCATCAAAGCTCCCATTTTGGAATCTCTCCGATTGAGCATTTTCGAATTCAGCCAGTTTCTTAAGACGGATATCCATTCGGCGCTCCAGTTCCTCAGTGCTACTTGGCTTACGAGTTATTGGCATATCTCTTCTATAATAGGACGATTCACTTTCTGGCCAAATCGGAGATCCACTTTGACTGGTTGGCGAATCAATGGTACTGAGATCACTCACACTTGCCGAATAATGATCTGAGTTCGCATCGCATTCACTGCTTGGTAGTGGATTATAATGAGCATCACCACCTCCAATTTGTGGGGTTTCCTTCTTCTCGTTAATTTTTATCATAAGACAACGACCACGACACTTGGGCTTATCCAGTTGAAGTAATCGAATTAGATCCTGTCGAGAACCCATTTCAACGTAGGCAAATCCCTTGGGTCTTTTTCCCTTTTTTGGAATAGTTAAAGAACGAATTGAAAAGTTGGTAAAAACTTTCTGCAACTCGCGCTCGGTGCACTCCATTGGCAGATTGCTGACCAATGCCATAAATGGCGGACTTGTGGGCACTTCCTCTTCGAAGTTGGGAGTGCTGTCCTTCTTTGGAAGATCCGTCTTGGATTTGTTGTTGCCATCCTTGTAGAAGTAGATCTCGGTGTTGTCCACCTCCGAGGTCTGCACCTGAGTCACGTGCAACATGGCCTCCAAACTTGGAACCGATTCACTTCCGGAAAAGGAGGACACGGAGGAGGAAACAACGGGAGGCAACTTTGAACTTCGCGATGACCTTGACATCTTCACAATGTCACCAGCCAAAGAAAAAAATGTTTATAAATAATACTTCGGTGTAAGCCTTTGTTAACTTGAATTCAAATTGTTTTCTGAACTATAAACCAATGCTAGATTCGGTTTACTAAAGCAATAAACAAAGATTGCTGACGTCTTTTTATTTAAAATTTGTTTATTTGACAAGTTTAATATAAAATAAAAATTAAACAAAAGTAACCACAAACTATAAAGCCAAAAATATAGAAATTAGCAACTTATTTTTAAAAACTATGTGTAAAAAAGGAAACTGGTTTAAAGACTTGTCATGAGCAAGCTAAATAATTAGTTTGGAAAAAACTGCTAAAATCTTTATTTATTTATTTAAAGAAAGCTAGCTTCGGAGAGCCAAAATTTATATACCCTATATTTTCCCATGACAGCTAAGAATTTGAAATAGTCCTCCGATTTTCATGAAATTTAATTCATGAAATTTAATTCAGTCATTATACCTTTGTAACAATTATAGAATTGTTTTGCCTCTAAGTTCCTAGGGCTTTGTAAATCTGAAAATATCATATTGACGAATGTTAAATTGCCCAAACTAGTCCTATCAACATATTAAGTAGTTATATTTAAGTTAATTATTTTTGTACCTGGAACACTGTGCACTTAATGCTCAGAAATTAATTATTTAGTCTGCCAATCGACAATTGTCAGTCCAATCAGTTATATCTCCAGCAATCGTTGTGCCCCTCGGTAATTTATAGATTCGAATCTTTCGCATACTGTAAATAAAGTTCGTGTCGGTGGGTTGACTGAAGTGCTAGATTAAATATTCCCACACCGCGATCTCATTGCGGCACACACTCCTTTAGTCCGGCACCTGTTCCGCAGATTCAGATATACTATATATCGACCATCGAGCGACCAGGCAAATGCCAAGGTTCGCGGATCCCAACTGACAACTCTCGACGGCGGTTGGAAAATATCAAAAGTTCAGCAAACAAATGGCATGGAGTTGAGTTCGAGTTTGAGTTTGAGTTTGGCTAATGCACGGATTGTGTCGTTTTCTGTTTTCTGTTTGCCGTTTGTTAGTTTTGTTAGTTTGGTCGCTCTGCTGGGTTGGTTGGCTTGGCTTGGATTCGACTGGGTTGGGCTGGGCCAGATGGGACTGCGACTGGATGGAGGATGGAAGGAGGTTTCCACATTAGGCAACTGCCGGCAACGGGCTACACCCATATTCCGTGGAAAATTGGGTGCGTTAGCCAAACACAAACTAAGGTAAACTGATAAAAATCATGGCCTGCAGCATGAGTGCCAGTACGAGTGGAGTTTGGGGCCAAGTAACCGAATTGCCGAGGGGCCCCCAACCAAGCCAACCAAACCAACCAAAGCCAACCAGCCACACTGGCAGTACGTGTTTGGGACCGAGCATTACGAACGGACAGGCTAAAATATTAGGCCAATTATATTTCAAAAATTTACATGACTATGATGTTGACGATGGCCGGGTCATCCATAAGCCAAACTACGGAAAGAGTCCCACTGGAAAAAATGCTATTATCCCATAATGGGGATTATAAGCATAACCATAAAGGTTTTTTTTAAAGTATATAAATAAAGTTATTTTTATAAATGAGTTGGGTAAAAAACATAAGAGTAAATATGTAAATATGGTAACCATGGCAATGCTTCAATTTGGAATAAAATATACAATTTAAAAAATATATAAGTATCTGGGAAATAAGTAAATTTTTACAGAAAATATCATTATTAATTGCAAAAATGTATAATTTATAGCTTCACAATTTAGTGATTATACTGATATTATAATAAAATAGTACAACAACTTAACTTTACTTTTTTAATGCATAATTTTTTGGTCAGTGCAAGTACAGTGTGCACACGAAGGAAGCGTCAAGTGGCCTCCGCCTCGCCGCTTTTCCGCAGTATCTTGATGCTCTCGCCGTGGAACGTGCACGGGCATAAGTCTAGTGTCTGGAGAGCCACTCGTATCTGGTTTCTAGGATCGCCTTTGGCTACACGGAATTTTCTTTTTCTTTTCTCTTCCTTTTGCCTAATTTCGTAGGAAAAACGCAGAAAGAACTGCGGTGAGCTGCGAGGGCAGGGGGCAAAGGTGCAGCGAAGGTAATTAATTTCGAGGATTAGGCATCAGATTTTGGCGATAGCAACGTGTCCCCATAATTCTCATATCGAGGGGCCAGACGAACACGTTCACAGGCCCTATCTGAGATCTTGATGGCTCTGGGTTTTACTGTGTCTTCTTTGTGGGTCACCAAAGGGCAACACATTGAAATTAATAATTGGATAGAAGGTATGAGTTACATTGGGTGTTTGAATAGCAATGAAATGTAGTTATTCACAAAATTACCATGAACAGTTTAAATAAACGATGAGTTAAACAAAATGAAATAATTATGAATCGCATTTCCCAAATGTTTCAATGAATCAAACCAAATTAAATGCCTTACTCCCGCTAAACATAAATCAAAACAAAAATTTTAATTTCTTGATTGTTTTCGGTAATTGAACCCATTGAAATAAACTGAAAATATTAAACAAACAAACCACTAATTATAATAGCTAATCAGCGTTTTCTTTCACCTCTATTTGTTGTTTGTGTGTTTGGGGGGCAACAAACTACCCCAAAAACCCCAACTAAACCGAGTCGATCGAAAGCCAAATCCAAAAACCAATGCAAAGCACACACACGAAAAGTGTTCCACATGACAGCGTGAATAATTTGTCACCAATTGACGGAAAAGCCAAGGAAGGGAAAGGGGCGGCACCAAAATGAAAACCGTCATCAGGTAAATGCAATTAGCCCGACCGACTCGGGCTTTGATTGATGTATTTCGAATGAGCTGCGCCAGGAAAATTAATTAGGTTTAAATTATGTAGGTAGCCAGAAATCTGGAGAGCTGGTGTTGCTGCCTGGCTGGCACACCCAAAAACGCAGCCAGTTCTATTCCGAGCTTGAGCACCTTATTAATTAATCAATTGGCTTCGGCAAATTGTCTCGATTGGAGCAATTATCGTGATTTGGTTAAATGCAGCTTATGCTCAACTGGATAATTTCCGCAAAGGGGCTGCACAATGTGTATAGTTAAATAAATGTTTGTGTTTCCCATTTCACATTAAAGCTGTGGTCTTCAATTATTCGGTTATTTATTGATTTTAAAATAAAAAAAATTCTATATTTTCCTTGAATGGTAACACAAAATAAAAAGTATGTAATAAAACTTTATCAAAAAACCATATCACTTTAAATGTATTTTTCCCAAAACATTAAACTTGTTGAAGTAGAAATAAAGAAATTTTATGTGTTTATGATTGGTAATTTATCTCCTTAGATGAGCACTTCTTAAATAAGTTCAAATATAGGCATTATTTGACAATCATAAACGACCCTTGGAATTTCCCTGATTTTTTTTCAAGTCAGCATCCCCCGCTTTAAAACCTTTATGGCCAAAATCAACGCATAGATGACTTCTCTTGACTTGGTAACAAAATCTGGGGAATCAAACGCCGCCCCCAAAGAGTTTCGCCGAAATTGACAAATGCACGGTTTGAGCGAGCTCGAAATGTGGAAATTTATCAATCGGCGGAGGGTTTTTCACGCCGGATTTGGAACGCAGTGAAGAGGGCACCGGGAAATAATATGACTTTAGCCACGGTTATCAATAACCAGGCATCGATATTTTATGAAAATTGATACGCCACACACACACACAGCGGGGAGGAAAATAAAAATAAATAATAATGGCCATTATTACAGTTTATCCCAGACCGAATAGTTTCGCCCACTCGACTGTTTGGCCAGCGAGTCCTTCGGGTCCTTCGAGTCCTTTCGATGCCGATGCCACTCATAAGCGAACTAATCCGTCAAAATTTATTGCCACCACCGAGGGGAGCCACTGTCGAGCCAATTGATAACGTGCGTGTGAAATTTATCAAATAAATTGAGGCCATAAATGTCAAAGCTGCGCATGATTCATAGACAGACAATCCGAGAGCCAGGGAATCTCCTTATTAGCCAGCTTCCGCTTGGCCAACCAGTCTGGCAGCCAACCAGTCAAGCAGTCAGTGAGTCAGGGAGTCAAGGAGTTTTGGGTTCCAGAAGCCAGAAGTCAACCCCGCGTTGGATAAGCTGACAAATTTCGGTCATTTCCAAGTGGGCTATTTTTCTGCCGCTGGCGAATTTATTAAAGCCTCATTTGGTAGTAAGCCACGAATTACGATTGCTGTTATTATTATTTGCAAATTACCAGTTCATTACATGTTTTTCTTTCGGTTATTATTTAGGGTGTTCAGAATTTTTAATTAATTTCTATTAGAACAAAAACAAAAAGTTATTATTAATAATTGATATTATGAAAATCATATTTACAAAATTTTTTTGTACTTTCAGAGACCTGTATCCCAAACATTAATTAATTTGTATTTAAATAAATATTAAAAATCAATCACATATAACTTAATACCATATTATGTTCAGTCCAGCTTTGCAACCAGTTAACATCCAATCATTAACTGTCTGTGATTTCCAAGTGGAACAGATTTCAGCCTTTGCACATTTATTAAAAACCCATCAAATGTTAAGCCCCCAAATTACGATTTGCATTCAGCATTCAGTTGGCGAAATTTCACCCACTTCCTTTCCCAACTCCGAGCCCATTTCCATTTACATTTCCATTCCGATTCAGATTCAGATTTCCCACACCCAACATTACGCGGTGTAATCAGAAAGCGTAGAGAACCGGAGTTCGGATCTGGGTTTTGGGTTCGGGTTTGGCTTTGGCTTTTTGGCTCTGCGATTGGGTTGGGGATTGCGGATGGGGATTGGGGATTGGGGATCGGGTCTGTGTGCTCGAGTTGGAGTTCGAGTTCCAGTTCAGTTCCGCGTGGCCATCATTATTCAGAATTTAGTTTACTTTTTTGCAGCTCCGCCGTTTTTGTCTGCCCGTCTGACTCTCTGATTGCATATGAAAGAGGTGAACGCTTTTTCACGCTATTATTAAATTTGG